GGGCTCCCTGCTCTTTGGGAGCCTGCTTCTCCCTCTGCCTCTCTCTCTCTCTCTCTCTCTGTCTCTCATGAATAAATAAATAAAATTAAAAAAAAAAAGTTTATTTTTGGGGCGCCTGCCTGGCTCAGCTGGTAGAGGGTGCAGCTCTTGATCTCAGGGTCAGGATTTCCAGCCCCATGTTGGGTGTAGAGCTTACTTAGGGAAACAAAATTATTATTGTTGTCTACATAAACAAAGTTTAGTTTCTAAAAGTTACACCTTTTATCTCAGGCAGGTCCTCCTAAGAAACAAGTAACAGATGGTGGTAGAAGTTTTAGTCTCTGGGACTGGGGGAAGGGCAGGGGAGATAAGCAGATTAGCAAAACTAATAATAGGCCTAGGAAAAAAGTAGCAATTAAAGCACTGAGAACTAATAGAGCGGATTTAATGTACCACTAGTCCAAGGCCTCAGGTAAATCTCTATAGTATGAGACTTTCCCAAATCTCCTTGATCATAAGATGCTGTATCTGGCTGAATCAAAATGGGATTGGTGTTTTTAACAAGTGTGCCTAGTGACTACTATGGGGCAAATTAGGGAAATACGGGACTAAGAGTAAATTAGAAAGAAGCTGACTACAATTATGGAACAGTAAACCAGGATTAAGGAAGAGTAAATCAGGGTCAGATTAAGGGATAACTCAGATTAATTACTTATACCAGGGGTCAGCACCTTTTCTGTGAAGCACCACATAGCAAATATTTTAGGCTTTGGGGGCCAATAGGCAAAATCAAGAATATCACATAGGTATTTATATATTATACAGCAAGAGAGAATCAAATTTCCATAAAGTTTTTACTGACAGAATTCAAAATGTAGTAATAATGGAGTAAAAATTTGCTACACAGGTCTACTAATAAGAAAAATGGAATTTTTTGGGGAGGAATACGTTTTGTTTAATTAGGGTTCAAAGTTAGTGTTCTCTATCATGAAGACTGAAAATGTTCATCTGTTAATGCTGATCTACAATGAGATTTTACATATTTCATCTTTGAAAATCATTTTGTAGATATACATGGCCAATACTGACACATATCCATAAACAGAGCATTTTAATTGAGCACATTAACTGCTTGTAAGGCATTTACAAAATTATATTAGATTCTTTTCTTGATATTTTCCTGTTAGCATGTCATTACACTACAGATTAATCAGTTCCAACTGAAGGTTAGGTGGAAGCTCCTCAAGTGCACAGTCAAATGAATTATAAAACATGGAACTTTCCTTTGCATTTGCATTAAGGTCCCTAAAAAAATGATGCGAGAACTGGAGTTTGAGCTCAGAAAATCTATCTGCTTTGCCATATATTTCTTTTGTTCTGGCATGCTAGGCAATGCACTGATAATAAAACAGTAAGATGCTCAGGTACCGTGGCACACATGGTACTCACACTATAAAGTCATAATGGGGTCAGTGCAATCAGCAGTGCACCGGGCAGCAGGCAGAAGTGAGCGCAGCACATGCGGGCTCTGTTGCAGCTACTCGTGCCTTTGCAGCACGAAAGCAGTCACAGACAAACATAAAGGAACGAGTGTGGCTGTGTTGCAGTAAAATGTTATTTATAAACGATGAAATTTGAAAGTTATATATTTTCCCATATAACAAAATATTATTTCTTCAGATTTTTTTTTCAATCATTGAAAACCGTGTAATATGTAAATTCTGAGTTCACAAACCGTACAAAAACAGGTGGCAGGCCAATTTAGCCCACAGGTCAAAGTCTGCCAGCCACTCACCGATACTATAAATTTTTCCTGGAAAAAATCTGCAACTTTTTATTTCTTAAAAACTCAACAGTAAGAAGGCAACTCAATTAAGACATGGGTAAAGACTTAAATAAACATTTCTCCATATACAAATGGCCAATAAACACATGAAAAGATGTTCAACATCATTAGGTATCAGGGAAATGCAAATCAAAACCACCACTACCACTAGGATGGCTATAATAAAGCATACACACAAACACACAAAAAGGAAAATAACAAGTATTGGCATGGCAAAGACGTGGAGAAACTGGAACCCGCCATTCAGTTTGGTGATTCCTCAATAAATGAAACCGAACTACCATGTGACCTAGCAATCCACTCCTCAATATACACTCAAAAGAAACGAAAACAGGTACTCAAACTTCTTCTATTCACAATAATCAAAAAATGGAAACAACCCAAATGTCAATCAACAGATGAATGGATAAACAAAATATGGTATATCCATACACGTCTATGGCAGGGGCGCCTGGGTGGCTCAGTCAGTTGAGCGGCCAACTCTTGGTTTTGGCTCAGGTCACAATCTCAGGGTTCTGGGATTGAGCCCCGCATCAGGCTCTGTGCTCAGCGTGGAGTCGGCTTGAGGATTCTCTCTCTCCCTCTCTCCACCCCTCCCCCAGCTTGTGCGCGTGTGCTCTCTCTCTCTCTTTCAAATAAATAAATATATCTTCAAAAAAAAAGACTTTGGCAAATAGATGAAGGGGATTAAGGGTTCATTCATTCATTCATTTTAAAATATTTTATTTATTTATTTGACAGAGAGATAGAGAGAGCCAGAGAGCACAAGCAGGGGAAATGGCAGAGGGAGAGGGAGAAGCAGGCTCCCTGCTGAGCCACCCAGGCACCCTAAGGGTACATTTATCATGATGAGCACTGAGTAACATACAGAATTGCTGAATCACTATATTGTACCCCTGAAACTAATACAACACTGTACATTAATTATACTGGAATTAAAAAACAAATACATAAATTTTTTAAAAAAAGAAAAAAGTCTATAGCAAATATTGTTAAATTTTAAATACTACTGTGTTTCTTAGCTATGAAACAGAATGGAATATTCAAATTGTGTTACATGCTGTACCTATGTCAAATCATTACACAAGGTTTTCATTTGTGTGTGTTTTTAAGTCTGTGAACTTTATACTAGCAAAGTAAGTAAACCATTAGGTAAGTCTTCAGACTTTGCTGTTATTGTTGCCAATTCTTCTGTTTGTTTTAATGGCATTTCCTGAAATACTATTTGACCTGGAATACTATTCATAGTATTTAACATGAATGTCTTTGAAGTACCTAGAAAATGTAATTTTTTAGTAGACAATAATTTAAATTTCAGCAGTTTAGAAGAATACTTAAGAGTTACTAGGGGTGCCTGGGTGGCTCAGTCGTTAAGTGTCTGCCTTCAGCTCAGGTCATGATCCCAGCGTCCTGGGATCGAGCCCCGCATCAGGCTCTCTGCTTGGCGGGAAGCCTGCTTCTCCCTCTCCCACTCCCCCTGCTTGTGTTCCCTCTTTCGCTGTGTTTCTCTCTGTCAGATAAATAAAATCTTTAAAAAAAAAAAAAAAGAGTTACTAAAAATCGGAGTGCCTGGGTGGCTCAGTTGTTAAGCATCTGCCTTCGGCTTGGGTCACGGTCCTGGGGGATTGAGCCCCACGTCGGGCTCCCTGCTCGGCGGGAAGCCTGCTTCTCCCTCTCCCACTCCCCCTGCTTGTGTTCCTGCTCACTATATCTCTCTCTTTCAAATAAATAAATAAAAAATCTTACAAAAAAAAAGTTACTAAAAATCACTACTAGAGTTACTACCTACACATTCCAGCCCCTACTAACACAGCCTGGGGGGCAGGGGGTTACCTCTTTCTCCTCTGGGCAGTACAGGGGCCCTGTAGGATGAAGAACAGCTTTCTGTGCATAATAAAAGAGCTCTGATATGTTCTTGAGGTTTTTTGCTGAACACTGCAAAAAAAGTTTAAAATTTTATATTCTAAAAGCAATTATGGGAGCTAAAAATTTTTAAACTATCAACGTAAGATAATAACAAGATTGTTTGAAGAAACTGAAAAAGACATTTTTCTTCATCGAAATCATAATATTAATGTCTACAAAGAACTCAGAGGTCAATTCCAAGTTCTCTGTTATATTTGGTTTACATGACTTCACAAACAGCAGGAAATTTATCCCATCCCACACTTTCACACATCCTATTTCAAACCACAGTTTAGTGAGAATTCACCAGCAGTAAATTTCTAAATCAAATGGTAAGGCATACCTCCACACAGGTTTCTATTTCTGTGTACTGGTTCATAATGGGAAGGATGGTCTCCATACTACTATACTCCACCAGATCAGATTTGTTCCCAACCAGTATCAAAGGCAGCCTGAAATAAACAGAATATATTGCAATAATAAGGAAGGCAAAAGACCTTAAATATCTATTTTAAAGTATATAATAACCCATTCTAATTAGCTTTACTTAATCCCCCCAACATGAACCCTCTACTGTAGTCAGTTCCAGTCCCCTAGCAGCATGTTCATATTCAACAAATATTTACTGAGTACTTTTTTTTAAAAATTTTTTTAAAGTTAAGTTATTTTCTTTAGTAATCTCTACACCTGACCTGGGGCTTGAACTCACGACTCTGAGATTAAGAGTTGCATGCTCTTCTGACTGAGCCACCAGGAGCCCCTACTGAGTACTTCTTATAAGCCAGGTACTGTTCTAAGCATTAAAGCATATAAGACAGATAAGGTCCCTGCGCATTCTAATAGCGAAAATCAGAAAATGGATAATAAGCAAATAAACAATACACTTTCCAATTCTGTAAGTACAATGAAGAAAGTAAATAGGGGGATATGGAACAGAGTCATGGGAGGGGGCTAATTATACAGTAACTGGGGGAAAATCTCTCTGACAAGGTGGCATCTGAGTGAAGGAGCAAAGGAGGAGATGGAATGGGCCCTGTGAAGAGCCAGAAAAGAGCTGTGCAGGAAGAAGGGACAATGTGTACAATGGGCTCAAACCTAAAAAACACCCTGGTGAATCCAAACAGAAATATGTCAGAGTGGCGGGAGAGTACTAAGCAAAGAGGAAGAGGTGCGTAAACGGACGGGGAAGAGGCGTGTAAAGGGGCGGGGAAGAGGCGCGTAAAGGGGTGGGGAAGAGGTGCGTAAAGGGGCGGGGAAAGGGTGCGTAAAGCGGAGGGTAACAGGTGCGTAAAGGGGCGGGGAAGAGGAGTAAAGGCCAGACACATACGCTGCAGTAAGGACTGTGCATTTTATTATAAGTGTAAAACAGGAAGCCAGTGAGGAATTAGGAGTAGGGGCACAATAAAATGAGTGATGTTGCCTTTTAGAGATACAGATTGAAATACTGACAGTATGATTTGTTCAAAATGATCCCAATGGGAGGGGTAGTAAATGAAACAAGACCGGCCATGAATTGGTAACTGTTGAAGCTGGTGACAGGTACGGGGGGAATCATTAGACGATCCTCCCTACTTTTGTATGTGTCTGATTTTTTTTTTTTCAGTAATAAAAAGCTTTTTAAAATGTGGTAGCCTGGATTAGGACAGTGAAGATGGAGAGAAAGTATTCAGATTTGAGATCTATTTTAGAAGCAGAACTGATAGGAACAACTGGTAGATTAGATATGGACGTTGAGGGCAAGGCAGAAATTAAGAAAACTACATAGGTTTTTGGCTGGACAAATTGAGTAGATCTCCTGAGTCAGAAAAGATTTTTTTGGGGCGGGGGCAGTGGGGAGTAGGCAGGGATTTAAGGATTTTGTTTCAGATAAATTAAATCCGACAGGCCTATGAGAAATCTAAATGGGAATTATCAAAGAGAGCTAGTCTAGCAGGGAACTGTTATTTGTACATCTTGCAAGAGAGCTTGGAGAAAAAGCAAATCATCTTCCTGGAACTCCAGATAGCAAGAGAAATTCTTGCACACATTTATTTACACCCCTAGTATGGTTATGCATAAAGGGCCTGGCCCACTATATAACCCAAATATATTCCTAACAAAGCCAGGAGGGTCTCCAAAAATGTAGTGGTTTGCATTCAACTAAAGGTGTATACAAAATAATTTATGGAGCTTAAAAAAATACACATGTCCAAGCCCTACTCCAAACCTACATATTCTAAAACTCCAGGGGTGGGGCAAAGGCACCTATATTCTTTGAAAGTACCTCAGATGACAGTGATGGGCACCCCTGATTAAGAACCACTGTGACAACAGTCCATGGAAGTCCTACGGAAAATATATGTGCAACAAATATAAACTTAAGGTATGAGGCTCAGGAAAGAAGTTACTAAGAAAGTGTAAGGTCCATATAATAAAGAAACAGACCCCCTTGGGACAAGTCAAGCACAAGAAAAGTAAGTATGCTCATATGATTCGGAAAGGGGGAAAAAACAGCCACACCTGAGAAAGCTCAATTCGATCTTCAAATGTTATAAGCTACTTTCAGAGGATAACAAAAGGGCCACAAAACTAACCACAGAATTGTAGGAAGCTGTCATAGTGAAACTAATTTTTTTAAATTCAGGTGTCCACCTGGTGCTTGATATATCAAGCCCAGAAAAACTGCCTTCTCTGGAGAGTCCCCTGTGGAAACAGCTCTCAAGTGTGCAGCAAGAAGAGCAAGTGTCAGGAGCATGTAGCTGTGGACCCCTTGAAGGCAGGCCTATCTGCTATGCCCCTCTGTGTTGATGGAAATGATCTTTATCTGGACTGTCCATTACTGTAACCACCAGCCACAAGTGGCTACTGAGCACCTGAAATGTGGCTACGTACACGCCAAGGAAGTGAATTTTTAGTTTTATCTAATTTTACTTAATTTGAGTTAAATCACCACAACTGACTAGAGTCTACTACATTGGACAGTAGCTCTACGGGGTCACTGTCTTTTTACTTTGTCGGGAAGTCACTTAAAAGTTTAAAACTATGACAAAGAGGTGCCATCAGAGCTGCAAGACACAGCATATACAATGCCATCTCAGTCATAAAGTCTCCTTCCGTAAATACAAGAGGCAGGGTCAATGACTACGTTCATCTGTTTAGAACCAGATCTTTACAGTTTCAAGGCACAAAAATGTCCAACAGAGATATCTAAAAAATTAAACAAAGGGCCAGATGTGTACAATACACAGATATTAGTCTGATTTCCCTAACATTTAAAAATACCTCATAAATAACATATTCCATTAAATAATACTGCCAAGAAAAATTTCTGGTTTCCATTTTTACTTAAAACTGAAAACACTTAAACCCAGAACTATCATTCTGCTCAGAAAAATACAGAAGGTGTGTTCTCTTACTTCTTCCCATCATACATGTATCTTCCAAAGAATTTCGAAGGAATCTCCCTCTATGCATTCCTAAATAAAGATCTCTAGCAATCTTTAGAGAACTTATAAAGCAGTTCAAGTGCATTATTTCACTGGATTCTCAAAATTACCACATGCAGCCAAGACAGGCATTAGCCTTGTCTCTACTACAGAAGTGGATAAGCCAGATCTCAGAGGGCACTCATTCTCCTCCCAGTCCCGTGCTGTTATACACACCACCCTGTAAGCAATCAGTGACTAGGGGAAGCCTTTCCTCACCCAAGGGGCACCTCCACAGAGAAGGCACATATGATACAGATGGGAGAGGAATTCTAAAGTGGAGACTTCTTAAGCAGTGGTTTGAGAAAGAGAAATAAATGTAAGATCAATGATCAAAATATTTCATGTCAGAAGTTGTAAATCATTATAGTACCAGAACACTGTTTTCTGCTTTGCTCACAAATATATGTGCTGCCTCAAACAATTCCTCCCAAAACCAGTGTGTGTGTATAAACAGAGAAAGACCTATAGCTAAAGCGGCAAATGTTAACTAGTGGATGTAAGTGAAGGGTTTACAGGTGTTCATTGTACTCTTTCTTGCAACTTTTCTCTAAGTTTGAAATTTTTCAATATACAAAGTTTCAGAGGAAAAAAAAAATACCTGCTGTCTTTGTCTGTTCTTTCATTTATAAGAGGAATCCATCGACTTGTTACCTAAAAAGAAAATTAACAAGAGCTAAGCCACAATGAGGATCTTCTCTGAAAACTCTAAATTAAGGATCAATTTTAAAAGTGCCCCCATTGAAATTTAACTAGATATAGTGAAAAAAGTCACATATTCATACCTTATCAATAGAATGCTTATTGTTAACAGCATAAACTATGCAGATGACGTTAGCCTACAAGAGAAAATTAAGAAATTAATGGTATTTTTAAACAATACAAATGTAAATGGTAGCATTTAATTACCAGCTAGTTAACATATTTGGGCCAAAGGAAGAATAAAATTTGAAACCTAAAAAAAAAACCCCACATTTAGCATGCCTTTAAGAGGAAAAAGTTCCTAAGGACTTACTGCAAAAATACATACTCAAAGCCAGAAGTTAACAGCAAAGACTTAAGACCTAAGACTCACAAAATCATCACTGTTTTCCCACAAAAAAACCCTACAGCTATATTTTTTTAACTCACCTGTGATATCTCTTGATGAAGCTGTTCATCACTCTGTTCTGCTTCTACAAATGACAAAGTCAAAAAATGTTCATTATTTTAAACACTTTCATAAAAACTAATGGCCAAGCTAACATCTACATGGCACGCATCCAACATCCCTCATCCCTCATGTCATTTATGTAGTGTAGTGCCAGATGAGGTGGCAAAGGCAAGGGCAAGCCAGGGAAAGGAAAAAGCTGGACTACGATAAGGAAGCTGGCTGGCACTGAAAGACAAGTCTACCACAGGATAACTGCATGAAGAGCAGAAGGCATTGTGTGATAAATCTAGGCCAGCATCTGATCCAGAGTTGAGAAGGGTCAGGCCAAAGAGATCAGAAACGCAAGCTAGAAGACTAGGTGCTGCAGTCAGAAGCCCAAAGAGTCCATACACACAGGGTCAGAAGGCCAGGTGAGAATACAAGCTTAAGAGCTTGTATCTTAAGAGAGCAGGCCCCAGAAGCAAAACCAAAGCATGATAGTGAAGAGTCCAGAATTCCCTTTCTAACACATATCTCTGGCTGGAATGGGTCTCAAATGGTGGATGTGCATATAACCCCACAGTGCAGGAGTTATGCATGATCATAGCTATGATGAAAAAGCATACAAATGAATGGAGTGCCTGGGTGGCACAGTCAGTTAAGCATCCAACTTTTGATTTCAGCTCAGGTCATGATCTCAGGGTCAGGAGATCGAGCCCTAAGTCGGGCTCCGCACTCAGCGAGGAGTCTGCTTGAGATTCTCTCCCTCTCCTTCGGCCCCTCTGGCTTGTGCTCTCTCTCTCTCAAATAAATAAATAAATCTTTTTTTTAAAAAAAGCATACATATGAAGAGAAAAGCAATAACTGACATTAATTTAGATCACCTTATATTAAATATTCCCCCCCCAAAATGCCTGTTATTTCTGACATGCAAACTAATACTATAAGTGAGTACAATGGTATTTTAATTTATGCCAAATAACTGGCCATATTTTAAATATCTCTTCATATGTTGAGTAATCAATGGGTAATGGCTTCAATTCCAATGCTGAAAAAGAATAATTTTGTAAATGAAGCAGGTTATAAGGCTGATTGCAGCAGAAAGCGTCCAACCCCCTCAGTTTCTGGTATAGTGCTGTTTGGCAGCTGGATGAGCAAGCCGTGTATGTCATTTTTAATGTTCCAGTAGTCCCATTAAAAAAGTCAAAAGGATGGGGTGCATGGGTGGCTCAAGCGTCTGACTCTTGATTTCGGCTCAGGTCATGATCTCAGGGTTGTGGGATCGAGCCCCATGTCAGGTTCTGTACTGGGCATGGAGCCTGCTTAAGATTCTCTCCCCCTGTTTCTCTGTGCCCCTCTCCCCCCCACAAAAGTAAAAAGGAACAGGTAAAAGCACATTTTTATTTAACCCAAGATATCAGAAATATTAAAATTTCAACATGTACTCAACAAGAGAATTATTGAGATTTATATTCTTTTTCTCATACCGAGTCTAATTCCACCTGTATTTTATACTTACAGCACATTTCAGCTTAGACTAGCCAGGTTTTAAGTGTTCAATAGTCGTATGTATTGGACTGCTCAGTCCTAGTATTTCATCTTTAGAATATGTAGGATACCAGCTTAGGAAAACAAAGTATTACCAATGTAGTTATGCCATGCTTACAAACAGATTTTATTTTATTTTATTTTTTTAAAGATTTTATTTATTTGACAGAGAGAGAGAGATAGCGAGAGCGGGAACACAAGCAGGGGGAGTGGGAGAAGGAAAAGCAGGCTTCCCGCAGAGCAGGGAGCCCGAAGCGGGGCTCGACCCCAGGACCCTGGGATCATGACCTGAGCCGAAGGCAGACGCTTAATGACTGAGCCACCCAGGCACCCCCAGATTTTATTTTTTAGAGCAGTTTTAAATGCACCGCAAAACTGAATGGAAGGCACAGAGATTTCCCATATACTTCCTGCCCCTATCACATAGCTTCCCACATTATGAACATACCCCATCAGAGTGGTACATCTGTTACAACTGACTCTTAACGTGGGGCTCGAACTCACAACCCCAAGATCAAGAGTCACATTCTCTACCAACTGAGCCAGCCAGTCATCCCTCCCTTTTTTTTTTTTTTTTAAAGAAGTCCCAGAACAGAGCAAAATAATTTAGTGATTAAAAAGTTAAGTCCTTGGGGTGCCTGGGTGGCTCAGTCGGTTAAGCATCTGCCTTTGGCTCAGGTCATGATCCCGGAGTCCTGGGATCAAGCCCCACATTGGGCTCTCTGCTCAGCGGGGAGCCTGCTTCTCCCTCTGCCTGCCACTCTCTATCTCTCCCTCTGTCAAATAAATAAATAAAATCTTTGAAAGAAAAAAAAAAGCAAGTACTAGTGGGTAGAAAAATTTTAAATTATTCAAAGCAATACAAACGTGCTTCTATTATCATATAATGTAAGCAAGCTGATGACTGTTTTAACTATTATTTGAGGGAGGGGACAAAGGCTGATAAATTAAAGAACAAATTTAGAACTCAACAAATTCTCAAATTCAGAATTCCTGAATCCCTGATAACAAAATTAATCCAGAACTTACCTCTGCAAACATGCCAAGTCAAGGAGCATAATGATTTATCTACTACTTGTCATTTACCATCACTCCTTCCTTTTCATTATTATGGAACCCAACTTAGTAAATCTGGGACAGAAAACTACAAGACGGAGGCTTTATATGGCGTGTGGGGTGGGGTTTGGCAAGGAGATATAAATGAGAGAAGAATAGTAAATGATTATTTATTGCTAGAGAAAAAGGAACACTTATCCTGGAACACTTTTTAAAGCTCAGTATGTACACCTTTTTTGAGGACTATTAAATTAACGCTGCAGCTTCACCCACAAGAGGATATTCATTACCTGAGTAATCTACGATGTGTGTTGGAACTCTCTCAGGGGTGACATCTGCTGGAATGGTAATTTCTTCTGCTCGGGGAGGAACCTTCATTTGCAAAAAAAATATAGAAAAGAAAAGAAAAAAAAAACCTTTGGATATCATCAAACTTGTTAACAGATTTATTACACTTTTAAATGCTTATTTTTGTGCTTGAATCCACGACCCTGAGATCAAGACCTGAACTGAGATCAAGTTGGATGCTCAACCGACTGAGTCATCCAGGTGCCCCGATAAACACTTCTTTTAAAAAAGCATGCACAGGGCGCCTGGGTGGCTCAGTTGGTTAAGCAACTGCCTTTGGCTCAGGTCATGATCCTGGAGTCCCGGGATCGAGTCCCGCATCGGGCTCCCTGCTCAGCGAGGAGCCTGCTTCTCCCTCTGACCCTCCCCCCTCTCATGTACTCTCTCTCATTCTCGCTCTCTCAAATGAATAAATAAATCTTTAAAAAAATAAAAAATAAAAAAGCATGCACATTTCTACTTGTGTGAGCACAGGACATATTAAGGACATATTAAGGATACTTCAGATGTAACGCAGCCTAAAACAATACTTAAATTAATTCGGTGTTTCAAACATTTGATTTTTAAAATGCTGTTTTCATTCCATTTTGTTGATGCTTAAGACACGCTACAAATGAGGAGCTATGTTAATCCAAAGCAATTCTCAAATAAAACAATAAATTATCAAAATTAATTTCTTCTAGAAGATAACTGATTGGCTACATAAGCCTTGTATTTAATGATTCCATTTTTTAGAAAGACTCTATGATTTTTTAAGCCAATTAAAAGCCTCTTATCCATACCCAAGAGGACTATGCTAAAATGACAATTCTAAACTCAGTTAAATGATCACAGAAAGCCTTTAGGTATTATACTCCAAGTGATCATATGATGATACACTTTATTTCACAAATTAAGTAATTACTTATTCCAGTATCTTATTTAAGAGGGAAAAAAAGCAAAAGAAACAATGAATGGTTATGTGGCACTTGTAATTGTTGAAAACACTACCATATAATATACCAAATTCCTGTCTGAACAATGAGATTATACACATATTCTTAACTAAACAAGAGTAAAGAAAGGGGAAATGCAAACTGTGGGGCTAATACACCAACTATGTGAAGAGAATAAATAGTGTTCATCCCATTTGCATCAATCCCATTCCCCAAAACAAAATTCTAACTTTAAATAAGGCCTCAGCCAACAGTCCCTCATTCTGGAACACAAATATATTGCCAGTAATCATAAAACCACCTTACTTTTGGTGGTACTCTATTATTAAGCCTACCTCATTTGAGACACATAACAACCCTCTGAGGTAGGCAGAGGTGGTATGAATTAGTTTCTTCATTTGTAAAATGATGTAATGGATAATATTAAAGGTTCTCAAATATGTGTGTCAGAATCCTAGGGGTTCTAATGCCTCAAAGACTGGGGAGTGTCAGACGGAAGGCAGGTGGGGAGCCAGCCAGACGTTTCAAGCCCTTACTTCAACTAAAGGAATACTCACCTGTTTTATATTTTGGGGTTATGAATAACATTTTATTTTTAGGAAAGGATTAACAGCTTTGATGATCTCTAATATCCCTTCCAGCTCCAGTTTACAGATGAGACAACTAAGGCACAGAGATGACAAATGTCCTAGCCAAAATCAAAAGGAGGAAAAGCAAAGGACTTAGGTGAACTCAGATCTAGTTTGATTCTTGCTCCTGCACTACGTTTCAGGGATGGCTTGTGTAAACTAATATGAGCCCTTTTAAAGCCACAACTGTCAGAAGGAAAACACATGCCAAAAAAGTGCAGAATTTATTTCACTTTAACTCAATTTTGATAAATTTAAAAGATTTTAAATATAGACAAGACATAAAAATGTTTACCTCTTCTGGGAATTCTTCACTGACCAGAGACATAATCAGTGATGTCTTCCCAACTCTAGCTGTGAAAACAAACATCATTATTTTAATAATAAAGTGTTTAGGTTCTACATAAGCTCAAATTCAGCAACCACACAGCAGAGTCTGTTATTCATTCGCCAAAATCAGAGGCATCCAAATCACCCAGTTTTAGTACAATGCTTAAAGTAGCTCTCTTTTTCTGCTTAGAAAAGTTATGCATGCCCATTGTTTAAAACAAAAAAATTACCAAAATATAATATAAAAGTAAAAATCTTCCCCCAAATCCCTCTTTACCAGTTTAGTATATGTAGCCTCCCAGATTTTTTCTTTACTTATATTATTATAATAATTCACCACACAGTTTACTAGCAGAATCACAGCATTCATACTATTTTACAATCTTCCCTTATCATTTAAATTATGTACTTGGGCAGTATTCCATGTCCATACGTAAAAATTTCCTGGGAGGGGTGAAGGGACAGTTATTATGTAATCTACACAGAGTTTTAATTGGGCATGATGAAAGAGTTTTAGAGAGAAAAAGTGCTGATGATTACACAACACTGTCAATGTATTTAATGCCCTTTAACCGTACTCTCAAAAATGGTTAAAATGTCGAATCATACGTCTTATATATTTTATCACAATTTTTAAAAATAGCAACAGGAAATCCATTTTATATTAATGTAAAAAACCTCTTACATTATTCTTTGACAGTTGTATAAGAATCCATCGTAAGACATGTCCTTATTTATTAATGCAGTCTCCTAACAATGAGCACTGTTCAAGTTTTCAGCTTTATAAACAATGCTGCAATGAATATTTCTACAGGATAAATTCCTAGAAGTGAACTCAAGTTAGCATGCATAATCGTCTTTATTTTTAATAAATATTTTTAAATCACCTCTAAAAAAGAATAATTTACATCCTCACCAATAGAAGATCAGTGTGTCTGCTTTGGACATCCTTATATTCTTTCTTTTTTAGGGTATCATATGGAAAAGCTTAGTAAGAGCAAAAGTAACTTTCCTGTTATATTTTCTAACCTAGTAAGATTTTTAATGCACAAACTTAAAAATCTTCATTTTCATTTGTAAATTTCATTTCTATTCCCATCACTTTCTGATCATATACAGTCAACTGCATCAACTAAATCCTTTTGTGATTCTAAAGGAAAACAATCCACCTGCCTATTAATCTCTGCCATAATAGCAAATTGGTTTCCAAAGGTAAAGCCTAAATATGAAAGAACTGGAAAATTTTTAAGTGAAGAAAAGTCACATTCCTTTTTTTAAATGACTAAAAGAAAGGGTGACTAAAAACACAAGTCAAGTCTTCGGAAAAATAATGAATGGCTGGAAAAAAAGAGTACTGGTAAAACAACTTAGAGGGTGTGCTGCAAACAAGTCAGGTGTTGCTAGTGGAGGCTCAGAGTAGATGGTTCGACAGGTATCTTCTAGCTCCGATTTCTGAGAGTCTTTTCAGTTTACTTGTGTGAGAAGGCTTGTGCCTTTTTCAAGTAGCTGACTATAAGATAACACTTCTCTGAGTTCCAACCATGTCAGTGAATCCAGAGCCCATCATCACAGAACTGCTAGAATCCAGTTATCAATGTCAGCTTATCCAGCCCCCCCGGCAAAAATTTTCAGATGAAGTACCTGGGACCCAGAAACAGCGATTTCTCAAGGTCTCACTAAAAAATGAGTTGCAGACTTAAGAGAATAACCCACCTTCTGATGGCTAAGCCAGTGTTCTATCTCTTTCCTATGACATACTTTAAAAAAAATACTAAGATGTGGGGTGCCTGGGTGGCTCAGTCTGTTAGGTGTCAGCCTCTGGCTCAGGTCATGATCCCAGGGTCCTGGGATCGATCCCGAATTGGGCTCCCTGTTTAGCGGGGAGCCTACTTCTTCTCCCTCTCCCTCCGCCTGCCGCTCCCTCTGCTTGTGCTCTCTCCCTCTCTCACTCACCCTCTCTCTCAAATAAATAAAATCTTATAAAAAGTAAAATAAAAAAATATTAAGACAATAATACAGAGAAGGAATGATAGCCCCTAAAGTCAGCAAGCAGTACATACACAAATACTATATAAATTAATTAAAATATTCACTGATTCACTGGTGACCAATCCAGCAGCTCTAGTTCCACTTTTTTTTAAACTTATTTTGAGAAAGTATCAGACTTACAGAAACATTGCAAAAATAGTACAAAGGAGTCATATCTATTCTTTAACCAAATCCCTCAAATGTTAACATTATACCACACTTGCATTATCATTCCTTTCCTCTCCCTCTCCCTACTCTCTGTATTTTTAAACCATGATGGCCCCTTACATAACCCTAAGCACCTTAGTATGAATTTCCTAACAAGATCATTCTCTTCCATAACCATGGTGTACTGTCAAGATCAGGAAATTAACACTAACACAGTGCTATTATCTACTCTGTCAACCTTATTTCACCATTCGTCCCATTACCATCTTTTATAGAAAAGAAAAATCTTTTTCTTCCCCCAGGATCAAATGTTGCATTTGGTGGTCACGTCTCCTTAGTCTTTAGTCTGGAAGAGTTCCTCAATCCTTTTTATCTTTCATGGCCTCAGCATTGAAAAAACAAGTCATTTAATTTGTAGACTATCCCTCAAATTGGTTTGTATGATGTTATCTCGTGATTAATTTCAGGTTTTGCATTCTGGGCAGGAATGCTGCAGAAATGATACTGTATCCCTCACAGGGCATCACAGAAGGGAGATGATGTTAATTTGTCACATTACTGGTGATGTTAACTATCATCACTTGGAGGAGGTAGTGTCTGCAGGTTATTACCATTCCCTTTGTAATTGATAAGTATCTTGTGAGAAGATACATTGAGACTATGCAAACATTCTGTTTCTCATCAAACTTTTACCTATTGGTTTTAGCAGCCATTCATGATTCTTGTGTTGTGTTGTTATAGTGGTTGCTACATGGTGATATTTCTATTTCTAGCAATCCTTCTCCATTACTCTGTATTCTACTTTAAGGAAAAACTCCCTTCTGATTCATATCAGCATGGTCTCGTGGATTCCTACAATATTCTACGTGTTATAATCCACTACTGTCATTATTTGGAGGTTCAAACAGTTCCATTTTACTTCGAAAAATGACATTTATGCAGGTATAAATCAGGATTACTATATGACCTCATTTTACAAATAAATATGTATTCACACTGGGAAAAAAAAAAAAAAAACCCAGAAGGATCTATACACCAACAGCAGTCATCTCTGAAGTAAATGTAATTGTAACTGTGTTTTTGTACTTTTGCATATTTTCCCAATTTTCTACAACAAATATAAACAATTTTTGCTACTAGAAAATGTTAACAAGTACTACTTTGGGCGCCTGGGTGTGTCAGTTGGTTAAGCGACTGCCTTC